GTCTGACTACAAGTAGGGAATTGCACTCCGCACAACAGCATGTAGATACTCAACCACCAGTGGAATATTTATCCATTTATTTTACAAATATCTTCCAAGTGATTCGTGTTGAATCTTACTAACATCTTTCTAATCTTTATGTTAACAGTGTATCTTTTAGGATGTTTGCAAGAACATATGTAACTGCTGGTATAGTTTAATGCATCTGTAACCCTTTCATTGGGTGTCTTTGGATTTTATAGCTGCCTTTTTATGTACATGTACTGGGAATCAGTTTATTTTACTTCAGAGAACTTCATCTGAAATATCTGATTCATTTTGAGAGAGTAATTGTGTTTGTATGGGGGAGGAGAAGGAGAGAGATGGGGAGTGTTCCTAAGCATTGCAAGTAACTTCTTTTGAGTAGGTAATGCAAATATTTTTTTATTTAAAGTTTCCTCATCCCGTTCTATACAACAAGTAGGAATGCCTTCAGTATGTCATATTGAACATGGGAACTTTGACCTGAACAGGACTTCAATCTCATTTTCTTCCTATCTGAAACAGGAGTCAAATGAAAAATTGCATCTTAATTATTAGTATTGGAAGTAAATAGCAGTTATTTGTTTTATGCAAATAATATTTTTAGGCTATTATATGTCTGTGTTCCTGTCATTCTTGCTCAGTTGTTACGTGTAAAACTTGCATATTTTATATTGTTAATGATGTGTTGACACTTCTTCCATGTTTAACTTCTTATAATTCTGTTTTTGTGTTTGAAGGATAGTATAGAGGAGGAATAGTGTTTCAGCACTGAGTTGACCTTCACAATTTGAAGATGTATAATACATCAAGGCTTTTGCAGAAGTAAGAAAAAAAGTTGGAACAAAGTTAGATCTACTCTAGGCCAGTTGAGGACTCTCAACATAATGAAGTACAGTTCAAGTAACCGGCTTCCCTAACATAGCTTTGTTTCTAAAGTAGATCAGGCATTTGAAATCTGTAGCTAATTTGCAGAGAATAATCTGCCATTGCATTTAAGAACAAATTGTGACAATTCATTATTCACTTTAAGAATGAGTTGTCTTTGTCTCTGTACTGACCTGGAAAGTCTGCTGCCTCCAGAGTTGTCTGAATACTTAGCCTCTTTGTACAACTACACGGGTCAAGTAAAGTCTGGCCCTTATGCTCTCTGTGATAGGACGGAAAACATGGTGGAAACTTAATTTGTCTTCGAAAATAGTCCCCACCAAGGGAGTTCAGCTTCTGAGAGAGAGGTTGTTCCAAAACATGCATTTTTAAAAAGTGAAAAAATGCCATTAAAATTGGGTAGTGTGCATGTCCTTACACTCATCTTTTGTGGTTGCTTAATTGCACAGATCTAGTTCTTGTTTCTGTAACAAGATGCCCATAAGTTGGAAACAGCACTGTTGGCTACAGACAAATTGCATCATATGCAAAATAAAAATAAACTGAACTTTCTCTCTCATTTCTTTCAGTTACTTCAGATCAGGGGTGTCAGACTTATTTGACCCTGTGAGCTGAATCTGGACTACAGGGCTTCCCATGAGCAGTGTCAGTGGTGCTAAGCACTATGGCTGCTAGAGCCACTGTTTCAACATGGTTCTAGAACGCATAGTTAATGCTTCTGCTTCCTGCCCCACTCTTTTCCCCTGCTGCCAACTAAAAAACCCTGTTTTGGTTGTGGATTAGTGGCATTACTTCCCATGGGTTTTGGAGCCATGCTGAAACAGCAGTTCCAGCAGCCACAGGGATTAACACTACTACTGCAGGAGCTCCAGCTGGTGCAGCAATGAATCTGGCCTTCAGAGGTGGGTTGTCCAGCCCACAAAGCGCTGTGGACCAGGTGACTCACCTCTGGGGGCTGTATCTGGCCCATGGGCTGTATATCTGACAACCCTGGCTTACTCTTTTAAGTAGGAATGTATTGAATTTGGGGTGGCTTCCCCCCGATCTCATGATCCAAGCACAGTGCTGGTCACCATTTTTGCAGCGGAGTGCAGTGGGGCACATGCTATTT